GTTCTCCAGTCTTTGTCCTTTGTTGTATTACGTGTGATATTTTTAGCCACAGAATGTCCACCAGTTGTTCTCTTCTTTAGACGCAGTCTCTAGTCCTTTTGCAGCCTGGGTTTCTTTGAACCTCTTGGTAGCATTGTTTTCTTCGCCGTGCTCATCTCCTTCTGCGGCCTTTCTGTACTTACTTTGTTTCAGTGGCTCTCGGCCGGAGCTAGGACTACCGCTGCCTGCCATAACAACAGTTCTTTGTAATCCGATCTGTATGGTGCGCATGGCAGTGTTCACTATGGAAAATGTACACAGGAGAGCTTTACTCTGATAGCGCAGAGTACATGCGAGCACACGAGAGTGCACACGAGTGTAGTTGAGATTTCTGTGCTCAGTCCCCTTGCGTCTTCTTTTTTTCAATGGTCGCAGACCACTAGCTTTTCGGCGGGCAGGCCACCAAACTCCAGGACAGGTATGACGCCTGTAAACTGCACAATGACCTTTACTGGGAGAAACACGGAGCAGAAACCATGGGCAAGGCAACGTTAATTCCTGCATATTCGATCTTTGTCTTGAACACAGTGCAAGTTGAGAGCGACGCCTTGTGGACGCATGTTGGCATAGAAGCCATGCAAAAGAGGATATCCTACGCTGCCTGGTGCATTGCAAGTTGTAGTGCTGAACATGTGATCGCTCTTAAGGAGCTAGTGGGCGCAGGCCAAGTAGGTGGCACTGTCGTATCCTTGAGAAAGAATTTTAAACTTGTTCTTTACCGCAACCTGAGACTATCTTGCGTCTTCGTGGCTTCCTGTTACCCTCTTCTTTTGCTTTTGCTGGTGTCCATCTGTTGTGCTCTTCTTGTTATTCTTCCAGCTTGGCACGACTGCTGGCGGTTCTCCATTCATTGTCCTTTGTTGTATTACGTATGTTATTTTTAGCCACAGAATGTCCACCAGTTGTTCTCTTCTTTAGACGCAGTCTCTTGTCCTTTTGCAGCCTCTCTTCTTTGAATCTCTTGGTAGCATTGTTTTCTTCGTCGCGCTCATCTCCTTCTGCGGCCTTTCTGTTGTTACTTTGTTTCGGTGGCTCTCGGCCGGAGGTAGGAGTACCGCTGCCTGCCATAACAACAGTTCTTTGTAATCCGATCTGTTTGGTGTGCACGGCAGTGTTCACTATGGAAAATGTACACAGGAGAGCCTGACTCTGATAGTGAAAGAATACATGCGAGCACACGAGTGTAGTTGAGGTTTCTGCGCTCACTCATTGACTCTCGCAGTCTTTGTATAGTGTCACTTCTTTGACCAGTCTGTCTGGGGCTGGGGCTAGGACTGCAGCAACCTACCGTAATAAGGACAAAATTCAGCGAGCACGATGTGTGACTTCGACCGCGTGCACTGCAGATATCATAGTGTAGACACGATCAAACAGTTTATGATGTCCACTGGCGGTGGCGTGGTCAGTGAGCTACATTGCTCTCATTCTCTGCAGTGTGAATTTTTGACGACAAGAATCATTCGCACACTTAGTGTCCGTGTTGCGCGTCGAGTGGTCGCGGGCGCTAACTCAAGAGTGGTTCAGACAACAGAGTGTTCTCCGCAAAGGTCAGAGGGAAATTCTTTGTCGCATGGACCCCTTTACCAGCAATGGAGCATGTTCCTGTTCAGTGGTGCTTGCGTAGAAGGCCAGTCAGGGTTGAGGTCAGATGTGGTCATGGAACCATTTGGGCTCCGAAGCCATAAGCAGAGCATCCACCAAAACTGGTCTTTGATTCTGGGCAGTCTGTGAATTTTCCTGACGCATGCATGGTCGCGTCATAGAGTTTGTGCGCTATTTCAAGTCAAGTTCAAGCCGCACATGCGCTGTTTTGGCCCACCAAATCGTTTAATGTCTGACGAACAGGCGTCATAAGTTGGAGGGAATGGCATAGCGATGGGCAAGGGAATTACGTCGAGGGTGCGGGGCCCAATCTACGTGGAGACGTAGCTAGGGTCCGCGTGCGCAAATATTATATAATACTTCAAAGAGGGGTAATTCGAAATACCTGTGCTGACAATAGCAGCTGACTTTCTTTGGCCTTCTGCAGGTAGACCGTGCGAAGTCATTGTAGCGTCTGAACGAACAGCGGAGGCCAGCAGTTGCAAAGACAGGCCCGTCACCTTGGCCCTCGCAGTCAAGAAGATTACACTCAAATCCGCGTGCTCCACCACTGCGGCGTTATTGTAGCGCCTGAGCGAAGAGCTGAGGCCACCGCTGAACGAAGACAGGCCCGTCACCCTCGCAGTCAAGAAGACCACGCTCAATCGCTAGAGCACGCCCGGGCGCCCAGCCATGCGATCTGCTTGCTCCACCAGAACGCGGTACTGAGCATCTGACAATGAAGTGTGCCAGCTCATCTTCAACATGACACCAAGCTCCAAGACACAGGCGGTGTCGTTTGTGGACACAAGCATGTTTCATGCGCATGGCACTTCATGCAGAGAGTCACTTTGCTTGACCCAGGCTTTCCTGATCTTCCGTGGACAAGCTGACATCCTGAACGGAGGCGGAGACGTCTTTGCTCTCAGGCGCCGCATTAGGTCCCTTTTGTGGGACCACTGCATCTCTGCATCAAGTTCTGACGGGGTATGTCAGGCCGTCATTATTCGTCTTCCGTGATTGGTCTTCTGTGGAATTCACTCATGCGCAGCAGAATGGAAATCCGATTTCTGGACCCCTAGCAGGAAACTATTGACCCATGGTCTGGATCCATCGTATTTGCCAGGTTGGTTGGGTTATCTGGCACCCTCCTCATTAAGAATATAAGACGGCTTTGGGTTTCGTAACCCGTGTCGCGGGCATGAATACGTGACGTTACCAAACCTCCTGGTTGATATTTTACAGGGACAAAGTAGGACGTCCCCTATCGCTTTTTCAGCAGCAGCAGCAGCAGCAGCAAAGCAGCAAGCACTGGCAAGCAGCAG